CTCTTTAAGCAAAAGTGTGTTCAGATTTTGCAAATAAAAAATTATATTAGAAGAACTATTCATTTTAACTTGATAATATCTGAGATTAAATTCGTTGATAATATTAAATATTAAATAATGGTATAAGAAAAATGGAGATTGTCATTATTCAATATAATGATAATATTAAGTAATGCTATTAGTAGTAAAGGATGATAAGCTCCTAACAAATTAGGCCAGAAAAAATTGAGGCATCAGTGCTTCGGTCTCTTGTATATGGTGCTATTATGAAGTTGAAGATACTATCCTTGTTTTTCATGATTGCAAGGAAATAAAAGTTGTGTAGGATTCAATGTCTATCATCAAACTGAGTCTTACCCCAAGATTTTTCAATTGCAATTTTTAGGAGTGGTGTTATTTGAATGTTACTGCAACTGTGGGGCAGGTTGAAGGTAATTGGAAGGAGTTGTAATTTGTTGTCATATGTTGGCCTATTTTGGAAGAGAAGGAATGATAGAATATGTGAAGGAGGCAAGAGCCCCTCTACTATTACATGAGGGTTGGGTTAATGTGTATGTTGATGAAGCTTATTCTCATTTGAATTATAATACAAGTTGCGGTGATATCATTAAGAGTAACCATTATTTTTTTTTAGAAGCTTTTATGCTTAAATTACTTGAGGGAGATTCTCTAGTAATTAAGCTTTGAACTAAATCTTTTAACAGTTAAAGAACAATTTGTCAAAATTTAAACTATAACTTGTTATCAGAGATCCAAAGTTAGATGAAAATTTGTCAAAATCTAAAAATATAACTTGTTAAGATCTTAGAAATATGTAGTCAATATTTTTTTTTTGGGCTATAATAAGTAGTCAATATATAAAAAGGGGTTTTAGAAGTTGTCAAAATTCAAGATATAACTTCTCAATATTGAAAAAAATAACTTGTCAAAACATGAACTTCCTCTTTATCAAAATTCATCCTAAAACTATTACTAAAGCTTCAAACCTAGATGACTTGCAAAAATAAAAATTAAAACTTGCCAATATTTTAAAAACAAGTAATTAATAATATTTAAAAACTAAATAGAAAATAACGTGTCAAAATTTGAATTATTTAAATAACTTGTCAAAATTTAAAGTACAACTTCTCACCAAAGCTTCAAAACCATATAACTTGTGAAAATAAAAACTATATATAAATGATCAATATTATACTTATTAAAATATAAACTACAATTCGTCTGACTTCATTACTTGAGTTTGGGCTGATAATAAAAGAGTGGACCTTTTTAATAAGCAAATGTAATGTTGCTGTTTTTCATGCAAACTTAATTTTGAATTTGTTTATCAAAATCCTAAAGAGAAAATTCAGAACATATTGAATCTCCTCAAGTAAATGCTTCGTTCAGATCATAGATCCCTTGAAAGTAGGATTGCATTTGAGAGCGGAGAGAAAGGGAGATGGCGTGGTGTAAGCCGACAGCTCATGTCCAGCTTGGCCGAAGAATGGACTCCGAAATAACGCGGGACGTGATTCAGAACTCAAAAAGGACATTCATTAATTGAGATTTTGACATCTCTCCTCTCTTTCTAGAATTTGACATTCTTTTCATTTATTGTCGCATTGGTGCTCATCATTTCTTTTCAAATGATTTCCATCGTTAATTTAAAATTATTTTTTAAATACTTTTATATTATATTTATTAAAATAAAAATATAAAAAAGTATAATATTAAATAAGTACTATTTTTCTTTTGCTTATTAGAGAATAATTATTATGGTATTCATCACCTTTAATAAGATTTGAATAGTTTAAATTTTTAAGCTTTTATTTTTTTTACTTTTATTTTATATTTATTAAAATAAAAATATGTAAAAAAATATAAAAATATTTAATAAATCTATTTATAATCCATTTGATCAGTACATATTTAATTTAAATGACTCAATTTAATATTATTTTTTTAATAATTTTTACAAATTGAGTATTCAAATGTACTTTGAATAATATATATATAATTTAAAAGGTTCAATTTAAATATTAAAAATTTTATAATTTTAATTAATTGATCATTTAGGTACATTCTAGATAATTTATATTTAATATTATAATTTTTTATAATTTCTATTTTGATAGGTCATTATTTAAAAAAAAATGGAAGGTTTAAATCATGCCATAGGGGTTATGAGCCCGGTGCTCATTAGTTCCTTTATTTCAAGACTCCAAGACGGGCCACCGCCCAAACCATTTCTATGGAGCCTTTCCTCATTCACATTAACACATTTCCCCGTGCCCAAACCATTAATCCCTAATGTTTTTTTCCTTTGAAAGTTTTGAATTTTAGCTTTGAGATTTTCTATCATATTAAATACAAACATCAAAGGTAGTTTTGAGATATTCATAAAGTCACCATTGATAATAACAATCCTACATATAAAAAGTTTGGATTAGTTTGGACTAATATTTTTAAAACCAGCTTGGATATTGAACTAAAAAGGTCAGCAGTTTACAATTTATATAGTCTAATTGGGTTGGACCAATAATCTACTTGGTGATATAATAATTAAATTAAAAAATTATATATATAATAATCTAAATATAAGAAATAAATATAAAATAGCTACTTAATTTGAAAATAAAACTAAATATTTTAAGTTTATCATGGCTTAACAAGCCACATGATACAGCATAACATTAAATGATAAACAAATTAATCATTTTTTTAAAAACATTAAAAATAAATTTTAAAAAAGAAAAAGAGTATTTTTTTAATAGTCTGAATTTTCAAAATATAATCTAGTTTCCGGCTTGATCCTGATTCCTGATTCGACTGTCGATCCAAAACAACTCAATTTGGCCTAACTTCCCAAATGATTTTTTCGACTTGACTAATAAAAAAAATTTTACTCCTTCATTACTAGAATTATTTATTCCTTTTATTTTTTAAAAAAATGTTAAACGAAATTCATCTTCCTTTTGATTTCTTTTTTAAAATTTAAATGATGCATCAATGATCAAACCGATATTTTATGCCGTGAAGGATAAATTGCAATTATATATACTCGTATATATCTATATATATTTGTCAATAACATTGTGCTCTTTAAACTGTTAATTTTGTAGAACTTCACGACAAAATTAAAGAGACCAAATCCATCCATGTTGTCTAACTACCATATGAGGTCAAAATTTTGGACATGGACTTGAAAGCAAAATCATAGATACTTCTTGTTTTAAATAAATAAGTAAATAGGAATCGAGAAAAATTGACAATAAGGGAAGAGATGTGTTAAGCAAATCCCATGGGAACCCATTCATATTGAGCTGTAATCATGGGAAGCATGTGGCTTTAGCTAAAGATAAGCCTCATCTGAGCACATTTGAGAATGCACTCTGCAACCAAAATTGAATGTCTGACTTGTTTTTATTTTTTTTTAATTTCTTTTAACGGGTCAAACAAACTCCGATTCATATTTTTAAAAGTAAGATCAAAAGTTTGAAACTTACAATTAAAAAAAAAAAGTGTTTAACTAACTGTCATATTAGAAGAATTAAGGAGAAGCAACCATCTAAAAATGGGAGAGAAAATAAACAGATGATGATTGATCAACAGAAGAATATTACATCTTAACTCAAAACTTTAAAACTTAATTTTATAAATTATTTTCTTTTATTTTATATTAGTCATTAAATTTAACCTTATTTGATATGAGATTTTTCACATTAGTTACAACCCACCTACACCTAGACATTCTAATAGGAATGGCCACTTAATTATTAAGTCTCATGTTTGAGTATGTGTGAACACAGAAAATGTTCTTGAGAGAGTTACACCCAGCTAAGTCAAACAATGCTTAGATATGACCCATTCAGGTAATCATATAAAAAAAATTATTTTTAAATATTATAAAAAAAATACAAACTTGATAGTACTTGAACCTAAACTAGTTAGTAATAATAGATAGAGATGTCAAATAGTGATACTAGCAAATGTTGACATACTTTAGAGCAAGATCAAAGTGAAGGTGATCAACTTGGGGTTTACATAGATGTGCTTGGAAAGGAATCCTGCAAAATGTGAAGCAAATTATGTTAGGTTGAGAAAGTTTGAATCTTTTCTTCTGTACCGTGCTTCTGATTTCATCAGTAGATTCCTCTTAAAAATTCCACAAAAGTTTTAACTTTCAGTTTCAGTGTTCTGATTGAGTGGTGGAAAGATGGTTCCATTATGTTATATTTATATATGTGTGTGTGTCACAAGTTAACAAGAATGTAGCAGAAAGTGAAAACATCACAGGCTATGATTAAAACTATGATTAAAAACAGAAATCTTTTGGAAGGACAGGTCATATTACTATTTAGAAGATGCTTTCACTTTCCCTGCAATTTTCACTGCCACTTTGTAGTGCGCATGAGAACTTGGAATATACAGAGCCAACCAAAAGGAGGTCAGAGCCTTTACCTCCTTAAAAAGAATACAAATAATTAAAAATAACATAGAGAGAGAGAGAGAGTTAGAGATATAAACTCATAAAATAATCAATTAATTAATCAGTTTGAGATTCAAAAATTCCTCAATCTCATTCATTCATTCATTCATATGCTCCCCATCTGCAAAATATAGTCTCACATAACCTACCCATCTGACCCAAAAAGCCTTATCTTTTTTCAAAACTACAATATTTTATTAGTGCTTCTTTATTATTATAGTGTCCTGACGCATCTTGTCCAAGTACCAATATTTTTCTTATTATATAGAAAGCTTACACCATTTGTTCTTCCTATTTATTTAAGCTTCTCTTCAACAAACTAACATCATTTCTTCTACTGGTCTTCCATGGCAACTCATGAAGGTACATCCTTTCTTCTTTCCTTTTTATACTCTTTCTTCTGCTTCTTTGGTGTATCTTGTCAATGTTAAACTCCTCCCTCCCATCCTCTCTACACACACACACAGATAAATAGATATAGACCCTCCCCCCCCCCCAAAAAAAAAAAAAAAAAAAACAACAACCAGACGCTCCATAGCCCAGTACTCAAAGTTCAATTATCAAATCTGACATAAGCTTTGGTTGTTTTTCTTTTTTCATTACAGATTTCAACAAATTCTGAACCAAAAAAAACTCATATGTATCAAAGAGTTGGGTATCAATATCTTCTGCTCTGTTTCTTGCATTGAAGACTCAAACCGAGTTTCCTGAATTGGCTCGCTCTTGGATTCATATTCTGGTGTTGACAGCAGCTGGATCTGGAACTGGTAAGTCCGTCAACGCTTAATCATTATAATTTCCCTTATGTAGTTGACGCCTAAATGGGGCCTGTTTCTATATATAATATATAGACACTCATGCACAGACACATAATGAACTTTCCACTAGCTAGATCTCTGAAGTCTCGAAATTTATATCAGAAGTTATATAGAGCACTGATCAATGGATGGTCTGAGTTGGGATGCCTTACACGCTGCGGAGAACTTACCTATATTGTGGAGCAATTTAGAGCAGCAAGAGCTTGAAGCAAACTTGAATCCAAGCTTTCCTAATAATTCAATGCAACAGATGCAGAAGCAGGCTCAAACAGGTCATCATCATCACCTGTATCCAAGTTCTGAAAGAGAAGTGATCAAAGAGATGGCTCAATTATCAGAAGCAGAAGCAGAATTAGCAGCTAGAACCAGTTCAAAGACAAGTCTATCACAGCTAGTAGGTGGGTCCAGCTGGGTTGGTGGATCTTACAGAATGAATAACCCATTTGGTAATTTTGATCCTCCAGAATTCAACATGGCCCACCAACATCCACAACTTGTCAATAATGGCTCACAAAATGGTACCTTCTCTGCTGAGTCACTGGATTGCTTGTTCTCAGCTACAAATAGCAACACAGACGCATCTGTAGAAGATGATGGAGTCTCCATGATCTTATCTGAATGCAGAAGATCAAACTTATGGAGCTTTAGTCATAACAATGGAGGAAGTGAATCTGAGAGCACTACCAACGCTGATCATGAAACATTATCTCAAGGTTCCTCAGATCTTTATGCAAATCAAGGAATAAAAATTGCAGAATCCACCAAGGCCAAGTGTTCAAAAAGGAGCATTGATGATGCTTTAGATCAATATCCCTACTTCAGCATTGAAGAAGGTGGTTCAAGTTCATTCAGGCTCGTTAAGGAGAACAACAACAATAATCCACCAAAACCCAAACGACCCAGATGGGATTCCAAGCCTCCATCTTCTTCAAACATCAATTTCAAGCAGCCCCATTCATCATCATCTTCCATGGAAGAACCAGACCCAGATGCCATAGCACAAATGAAAGAGATGATATATAGGGCTGCAGCATACAGGCCTGTGAATTTAGGAATGGAGGTGGTGGAGAAGCCAAAGAGGAAGAATGTGAGGATATCAACAGATCCTCAAACTGTGGCTGCAAGGCTGAGAAGGGAGAGAATAAGTGAAAGAATCAGGGTTTTGCAGAAATTGGTTCCTGGTGGAAGCAAGATGGACACTGCTTCAATGCTTGATGAAGCTGCAAATTACCTCAAGTTTCTAAGATCACAAGTGAAGGCATTAGAGAGTCTAGGAAACAAAGTCGAGGCTATGAATTGTCCTCCTACTAATATTGCCTTCTCTTTTAACCCTTCTTTTCCCATGCAGTTTAACCCTAGCTACCACATCCAACGTTGAACTTCGAAGTCATGATTGATTATCTGCTTTTAATGTTGTAGCTAGTAACAATAGCAGATGATCACTTTCATTTTCTATGCCAAAATCTGCAAGAAAATTCCAATGAATGATATGTGATGTTAGTTTCCCTTGCCACAACTTCAGTGACTTGCGTAGAATTTCACTATTACCATAACTAATATCGTGCGCGAACTGTATTTTGTCTTCTTATTATAAGCTAAATGGACATGATTAGACTGTAAGTGAGGATGAAAGAAGGGAAGGAAGAGATTCAAAAATATATCAACTTTTGGAATACAAAAAGGCCAAGCAATTATAACACCTATGATTAAGATAAAGGGAACTCTAGAAAGTGATAGTAACTTTCAATTATAGTAATAGTTTAATGCAACAGATATAAGCACTTAATATTGTTGAACCTCATCTTTGTTTAATGAATTTAGCTTGCTTTTTTATGTTAGCTAACCAATGCAAGACAGACATTCTCTTAAGACAACGTGAGACTGATCAGTCTGTGGTCCTGTCTCCTTGATTCAACCCAAAGCGTGCTCTTGAGAACCACCCCCAAAAACCCATTGCTTAGCACGTGTATTTTCCGATTATTCTTCCTTTTTGGCCTGTGTGTTTGTCATAACCACTAGGTCCAATATTTAAAAAAAACAAAACCACTCTCTCTCTCTCTCTCTCTCTCTGTCTCTCTCTCTCTCTCTTTCTGTCTTTTTTAAACATTACAAAGTCATCAAAACTGTAAAATGGACCTAATGATATTGTTAATGATGATGACTATGATGATAACGACGGCTACAACGATAAGGTATTTTGTGCTATTGTCACAGAACTTGTATTATTTTAATCAGACTCGAATATTTATCTTCACTGCATAGTCACTCTACGGGACATGCCTATGTGTTACTGTTTCTGCATGCGGTTTTGATTTCCATCTCAGACAATAAAAACTATGCATATTTAATATTCTTCCTTTTTCCTCTCTGCCATCCTTAAGAATTCTTTAATTCTACCTTTTTTTTGGTGAACTTTAGAGGCCAATAATTGTCCAATCAATAGGTCCTTTTGGTATCATGATCTAGTTGCTTACAATGTAATAATGGGTTTATCATCAAGTTATATAGAACCTTGTTATCAATAATTTGTCAAGTCCTACAGTTCAATTATCATGGTGGTATGACTAAATTTTGTGACGTAGCATAACTTAATCAACACTTGATTGTCTTGCTTATACAATTATTTGATATATATATATATATATGTATACATATACAGTACTCATTCTATCCCAATTTGTAAGATAATATATTTTCACACAAAGTTATACGTACCAATAAAATTTATCAAATATACTTTAATTACAATATTATTTTTTCAAAACAAAAATATAAATTTTAAAAATACTTTTTATTTAATAATCTTAAAGAACCAACAACAGTTGATTTAGTTGGTAAAAATTCAACTCATCATAATCTATAAAATCGTTGGATTAGATCCTATCGTTGATGTGAAAATTTTATTGATGAGTGAATTGTAAGTATTTTTATAAGTGTAGTTTGAGGTTGGAAGCATCCCTAGCCCTGATGAACTTTCGATATCCAACTTATTTAAACTAAACCTTAAAGAGAAAGATAGATAATATAATAAAGAAGAAAGGGTATTATTAAAAAAGTATATTTAATAAAATTTTATTTTTATCAAATTGTCTTATATATATATTTTGGGATATCCAAAATTATCTTTTAAACTGGGATTAAGGGAGTACTATATTGAATCAAATTTAAGTATGGTTACATCCCAATTAAATGTGGCTCTCACAACATGATTTTTTTTTTCCTCTTAACAATGTTTGAATTCTTGACCTTGATTGAGAGGAATTAATTCCCTTTTACTTGGCCACTATTATTGGTATATAATATATATATATATATATGTGTGATTACTTTATGAATAAATATTGAACTATTATTATTTTTTAAATTTATAAACTTGTCTAGTTTGTAAAGAACTTGTTGGTTGAAGTGAAGGAGTTATGGTTGAAAAGGGGTGTGTGGATGTTATTTATTTATTTATTAAATATTTTGTTTGATAGAACTGTGGGGGCGTTGAAAGGGTCAAAATTAAGCAAGCTATATTTGGTGGGGGGTAGTTGAGGGGTTTCTAAAAATAGAAATTTTGTTGAAAGGCAAAGCTATCTAACAAATATTTCTGTTTTTGTGCAGCAAGAAAAATGGATATATCTATCTATTTTTATTCACACAACTAATTTGCGTATTCTAAATATCTTTTGCTGAGCTCATTTGCTTTATTTTTCTTGTATGGTTTCGCAACTTGCCACATATTGACTTTAATTCATCAAATTCTTCACATACTTGTGTCATAGGAGTTTGTTCTCCAGGTTGGCTTCATATATTAGATAAGCTACTTAATTCATTATCTAGTAGCATATGACATATGTATATTGTAAACTTTTTTTTTTTTTGGTTTTTCAATTCTTGAGAAAATTTGATTGAAATTTTAGGCTTCGACTTCATTTATCAATCCTTTTTAATTTTTTGGTGGTTTTCAATAAGGAATTCTCTCAGCTGATTTTTCTTGCACTTTGTTGACATATACACACAAGTAAATGGTACTCCTCCCCTTTCAAAATTTAAAGACATTTTTAAAGAGTTGAATGTTCAAAAATATAAAGCATTTTTAATTTTTTAAAGTGTAATTATGTCTTTTTTTTTAAGTGCTCCGATTGATAATAACTTTATATTTATTATAAGGTATTAATAAGGGCAAATATAAAAAAATAGAGTTAGTTAAAAATTAGGCAATTACTTTATTGAAATGTAAAATTCGATTAAAAATGCTTTACATTTTTTAAAAAAGAGGGCATTATTTTATCCAAAAAATTAATCTTTTGTCTCTGACTTCACTTAGATTTAGAAAATGGTTCTTGAAATAATATTCTTAAAATATAACACTCTGTAAGTTTCTGTCATTAATCCGTTGGTTCCTCTGTTACACTTAACACCTGAAGGCCAACCATGTGCTGATTTCGATGCCACGTCAGATAAGTTGATGCTTACAAAGCGAGAAGTTGCTGACATGGTGGATCATATGAGGCAAGTAAGTAACTTCATTTTGTTTGAATATGGAAGTTAGGCTTGGGCCTGCTGGTGGGCTTTTCTTCTATAGGCAAAATCCGGCAACCAAATACTTCTTTTTTTTTTTTATTTATTTATCGAGCAAAAGTGCATTTTTAATTTTTAAACTTTATCCAAAATTTCATTTTGAATTCTTAATTTTTATAAGTCATATTTTTAATTATATAACTCTGCTATCATTGGTTTTATTAATAAAAAAATTGTTGGCATTAAAATTTTAAATATTGACAAAATATTCTTAAATATTAATATATTGAATTTAATTTTTTAAAAGAATAATGATTGGTGTAAAAAAAATCATTTGAGATTAATGGCATTAGAGTTAAAGAATTTAAAAGATATTTTGTAAAATTTAAAAATAAAATTGAAACCTTATACCAAGGGAAAGCAAATAAAATATGCACGTGCTATGCTCTGCATATACATAATACACACACGTGCGTATTTACAAACAACGCATATCATTCTAGAGAGACAATTTTATGTCTGTTCATAATTAGGAATGAAATTCCTCTCCATAAAAAACTCTCTCTTAACGTGCCATGCTAAAAAGAAGAAAGAACACGATATATTTAGCACTTTGCTAAAATTGTAACTATCTAGCTAGAGAGCTCTGTCCACTAATTCCACCAAATGAGAAATCAATTTGCCTGCGAATTAAACGAGCCATCTCCATAGCCAAGCATTGTCTCAATTCCATCACTACGTGACTCATTGTTGGCCTGTTCAGGGAAGAAGGTGCTGCACATGCCATTGCAATATCCAATGCTTTTGTTGCAGAATCAATATCAAAGTTTCCTTGTAATCTTGAATCCACAATATCATCAATCTTGCCTTCAGAAAGAAAGATATTAACCCGTTGGGTTATGTGAGTTTTCTCTTTAGCCTTGGCTATGGCAGGTTGTCCTGTAATTATCTCAAGCAGAACAATTCCAAAGCTGTAAACATCACTTTTTCATTCAACTTGTTTGACATATTGTACCTGCATGACATAAAACACCTGCAACTCAAACTATGTTCTTTTTTTTTTTTTTGGGTGCACTCATCAACATTTGAGAACTAAACATAATTCAGCTTTGTAGTTTAGAGCTGGTAAAAACTTACTCAGGGTCAAGATAACCTGGGGTGCCAGCTATCATAGTAAATATATGCGTATCACTGTCATCAGGGAAAATTTTTGACAGTCCAAAATCAGCTATTTTGCCCCGAAAATATTCATTCAGTAAGATGTTTTGGGATTTGACATCTCTGTGAACAATTGGTGGCTTACAACCACTATGCAGATACTCCAAGCCTACAGTTAAATGTGAACCAATTACTTTTGCTGCATAAATGGAAGGATCAAGAAAGGAAATAAAGGCAAAAAATGAGTTCTTTCTTTCCTAACCTTCTGCAGCATCAACTGCAATTTGTAGCCGTTGTTTCCAGTCCAAGATGTTTACATTTCTCTCTGCATTAATGTAAGATTCACAAAAATTCTCAGTTGTATACAACTACAATAGATTTTTGAATCAACTTTCAGACTTCATCTTGAGATATCTTTTTAGTTATATATGGGCTCTTGGAATGCATAATACTAACTTTCTTGTAAGAAGTAAAATTTTGATGGACTTGAGGGATCATATAGCGAATACCTGATAAATGCTTAGCCAGGTCACCATTAGCCATGTACTCATAGATGAGAGAAACGTTGGTGCCATCATCACAATATCCTATTAGAGCAGTCAAGTGTTTATGGTGAACTTTAGCAAGAAGTTTTGCCTGTGAATCAGAAAGTTGTAATTTCTTCAATTTGAATCAATCTAAAGGCATCGTAAAATCTGCATAAATGCCTGCAGAATTAGTTGATAAGAAGTTTTTATAGAAATGATATATTTATGATGAAGACTTGGAGAAAATAATAAGATTGTACCTCTGCCTGAAATTGCAGATATCCTTGAGCTGAAGGAGAAAGCATTTTGACAGCAACCTCTGT